CTTCAGCCACCCCCTCCTCTTTGGCCCTGCCTCTGAGGTCGGGGTGCCCGGATGGTTGGGGGATCAGCACCCCTTCTCCACCTAGTCATCCCCAAGGCCACCTCCAGTCCCGCAGCCTCAAACACAGTCTGCATGCTCCTGATCCTCGGTCACATGACCTCTCCCAGGTTCCAACTTGCCCACATTGTTACAGTTTAACATCGGGGACAATGGGGTTCATACTACAGTTGATGGTGTGCGATCATTTAATTGGCTTAATTCTCAGGGATCGTAAGATAATGTACTTCTTCCTGCCAATGGTGTCATAGAGTCCATGAAATGCAATATGCCCTGAGCCCTGGAATCTTCCCGGTACTCCAGACGTTTTCACTCGACCTCTTACTTGCATCCTCTCCTCCCATGGATGCGTCCACAGGCATCTCCAAATTCACTTCGCCAGAACAGAGCTGCTGGTTTCCACCTCCGAGGGCTGACACCACTGGGGGTCCCCAACCTAATGAAGAACACGCCCAGCCAACCAGCCGCTCAAACCAAACATTTAGGGTTATCAGTGATTGCTCCCTGCCCTTCTGTGATCAGACTCTTGTCATCTCAGCTTCCAGACACCTGAATTCACCCACTTCTCCCCACTTCCCAGGTAGTGTCCTGGCGTGAGCCACCATCACCTTGCACCTGCCCGTGCCCACTGTCCCCACGGCAGCCAGCGATCTTTTCAAAGCCTAAACCAGCCCATCCTGGGAAACTCCAAAAAGGAGAGAATAATACTTCAAAGCCAGCAGAAGGAAGGACAGAATAGAGATAGGAGCAGATAAGAGCAGAAATCAATGAAATTGAAAACAGAAAAACATTAGAGAAAAATCAATGAAACCAAAAGCTGGTTCTCAGAAAAGACCTGTGAAACGACAAAGCTCTAGCAAGACTGACAAAGGAAAAAGAAGAAAAGGCACGAGTTATCAATATCAGGAATGAAATAGGTAGTAGGCCTATGCACATAAGTTTAACAGCTGAGAGGAAATGGACCAAGTCATCGAAAAACACTAGTCACCCAACTCACTGAATCTGAAATAGATCATTTGAATAGCCCCATAACTATGAAGGAAATTAAATTTGTAGCTTAAAAACTCCTTCAAAAGAATTCTCCAGCCCCAGATGTTTTCACTGGAGAATTTTACCAAACTTTTAAGAGGAATTAATACCAATTCTACACAATCTCTTCCAGAAAAATGCAGAAGGAGGGAGCACATCTTAACTCATTCTATCTGATCTATTTCAGATCAGTCTATCCAATTTCAAGACTTATTATATAGCTTCAGCAAGCAAGGCCTAGTGATATTGGCAGAACCGTGGACGCATGTTATCAATGGAACAAGACAGAGAACTTAGACCAACACAAATATGCCCAAATGGTTTTTGACAAACATGCAAAAGCAGTTCAAGAAAGGAAGGATGGCCTTTTCAACAATGATGCCAGAGCAATTGGATATCCACAGACAAAAAAAAAAAAGAATCTTGCCTTAAATGTCACACCTTGCACAAAAATTAACTCCAAATAGATCATGGACTTCATAAAACTATAAAACTTTTAGAAAAAAAATAGGAGAAAATCTTCAACCACTCATGGGCATTAACACAGAGAAATGAAATCCTGTATTCATGCAAAAATCTGAAGGTACCCAAATGTTGATGACAGTTTTATTCAGAATAGCCCCAAAGTGGAAACAACCGAGATGTCTTTCAACAGCTAAATGGTTAAACTAACTGTGGGACATCCGCACCGTGGAACACTACTCAGCCATAAAAAGGAACGAACTGTTCATACACCCAACAGCAGGGGATGACTCTCCAGAAAATCATGGTGAGGGAAAAGATCCGCTCCCGTAAGGTTACCTACTGTGTGATTCCATTCTTGAAATGACAACACTGTAAAAGTGGAGAACAGATTAGTGGTTACCAGGGGTTTTGGGGAGCTTGGGGGCAGGAGGAAAGTGGGTGTGTCTTCAGAAGGGCAATATATGGGGTCGTGATGTACAGAAAATATTCTGTATCTTGACTGTATCAATGTCAATATCTCAATACTCTGGTTGTGACATATCGTATAGTTTGGCAAGATGGCACCATTGGGGGGAAGAAGATGAACAGTACATGGGATCCAAAAAAGAAAGAGGACACATGGAATCTCTCTGTCTTTTTTCTTACAACTGTGTGTGAATCAACAATGCTCCCAGAATAAAAAGCTAATCAAAAAGAAACCTAAATTGGATCATTTCTCATCTCTACTTAAAACTCTCAGTGGCTTCCCAGTACACTGACATAAAATCCATACTTAAAAAAAAATTTTTTAAATTAAAAAAATTTAAAAAAATTTTTTTAATTTAAAAAAATTAAAATTTTTTTAAATTAAATTAAATTAAATTAAAAATTAAATTAAATTAAATTTAAAAAATTTTTTAATTAAAAAAATAAAAATAAAAAGCCCAAACTTAAGGCCCTGGAGATCAGTCTCTGGCCTATACTCCCCTCCTCACCTGCTCTGCTTCTGGACACTGACTTACTCTCTGTGCCTTCATCTAGGACCTCCCTGCCTCAGGGCCTTTGCACCAACTATCCTCACCCAATCATCACATGGAGGCTCTTTCTCCTCACTCTTTGCTCAGCATCAACATCATCCTTTCAGGGTCTCTCTCGTGCCTGCTCTAAAGTAGCCCCAATTCATGCCCAGTCACATCACCCCTATCTTAATTTCCTACACTCATTATGAGGCGATATTTTTTCTCGTTTTCGTATGTAGGTGAATACAAACCCCATGAGGAAGAGGACTTGGTCTTACTCTCCATCATATTCCCCTCTGGCACATAGTAGGGCCTTCAGTGAATATTTGCAGAAAGGGTTGAGTCAAAGAATAAATGCAAGCAAAGAGGTCTGTGTGGGGCTCCTGGGGGGAGAGGGTGGGGAACCATGCCAGTCCCCGAGTGCATTCTGAAATAGGGCCTCAAAGTTTTCACAACCACGCTCTCGCTTCCCCCACCTGGGTCATCAGCTCCCCGAGCTGGGGCCTGGTCTGGGTTCTCACAGAGGACAGGAGGCCTCCCCAGAGCGTGGATACAGGAGGAGGTCAACACATAATTTATTTGGGGGAGGAAGGGAGCTGGGCCATGAAACCTCAGGCGCATCCCTATGGGGCCTGTTTGATGGGCCAGAGTCGCACCCGACCTCATCCCTGTGACGAATCTTTTGACGTTGGGCAAGTCACTTTGCTCTGAGCGTCAGACTCCCGATGGCAAGTGTACGGATTAGTTTATAAGACGAGGGCTCTCTGCGAGAGTGAAGTGCAGTATTCACAGTTCACCCTGTGCGTGAATTCAAAGTGCTCTGACCTCTTGGATCTCCTTTCATCCTCCTGATACTGAGCCATCAGTTCAATAGTATCTCTTGAGCTCCTGAATGCAAGGCACGGCGGGAAGTAGGGGCACAGGAGAGATCGAAGCAATTCCTGCCCTCCTGTGGCCCCCTGGAAAGTGACAGAGTGTCGGGGAGGAAAGGCACTGAATTAGGTCAGGAGATGCAGCTATTCCCGGCATGAAACCAGGCCAGGCAGAAGGACCAGCAAACGTGAAGGCCCCGAGGAAGGACGGAGTCTCCAGGCCAGCAAGGTCCGTGTGGCCACAGCCCCAGGACCAGGGCGGCTCGCGGAGGGCCTTGGGGTCAGGAGGGAAACAGGGTCCATGTCCAGACTTTGATCGGCTGTGGAGAGAGGTAGAGACTGTCCTGTAAGAGAGATGGAAGCTCCTGGAAGGTCTGGAGCAGTGCCGTGATCTGATAGAGGACGTGGAGGGGATGGGGGAGGTGGGAAGACCAGACAGCAGCTACTACAAACACAGTGCCTAGGGGCGCCTGGGTGGCTCAGTCAGTTAAGCGACTGCCTTCGGCTCAGGTCATGATCCTGGCGTCCCGGGATCGAGTCCCGCATCGGGCTCCCTGCTCGGCAGGGAGTCTGCTTCTCCCTCTGACCCTCTTCCCTACCCATATTCTCTCTCCATCATTCTCTCTCTCTCTCAATAAATAAATAAAAATCTTTAAAAAAAAAAAAAAAACAAACACAGTGCCTCGTATATGCAAAGCCCCAAAACCAGGACCCAGGACGAGAGTGCACACGGTGCCCCACGTCGCCAGGGAGCTGGGGACAGTGCCGAACCCTACTGTCCTTCTTCTCCCTGCCCAGCCATAGACAGAGGAGATGCACCCCAACCCTACCTCGTATATGAGTTACTGGAGAGAGAGGAAAGTACATTAAACCCTCATTCCTTAACAGATAATAGCCACTTAAGTGGCAATGATAATTGAGACCAGAGATATGGAATTCCTCTCAAGAATGAGCATTAAGTCTTACTCAACAAAGGGATGGCTCAGGACAAATTCGTATCTGCTGTGACCAAACATTCTGTTCTGAGCTCCTCATGCCAAGGAGAGGGAGAGAACTCTCGGGAGGCCTGTAAACACCCACACCGAGGACAAGACCCTGCAGTGGGTCTTGATGTGATGTGATGGGTCTGATGTGAACACTGTTCACATCACTGCTTCAGTCCCAAAGCAAAGGGCAGTTGTGAAAAGTAGCGATCATCCTGAGAATGCTGAGGAACAGCCTGAGGGCTGGGGGGCGGGGCGTAAAGGGGGCGGGGCCGTGGTGGGCGGGGCCGAGATGGGCCTCACCTGGCCCTCCCCCATCCCTCAGTCCCCTCACCCACTTCCTGTCTATGGTGCTCTTCTGCTCATCAAATACCACCGGATTGTTAAGTTCTTTCAGGGTGGGAAGCACGTCCCTTTCATCTTGCCCACACATAATCCCCATGCTCTGTACACAAAAGGTGCCCCATAAATGCACACTCAGCTCTTGTTTCCGAGCGTCAAACCCCCCTCCCCAGCAGCTTGTGCTGGGGTTGGATTCACCCAAGGGAACAGAAAGGAAAAGGAAGGGCAGAGCTGGACCGCCCCACAGCCTTTACCTCACGAGGTTGGCACAGGGCCCCGGCCACCGGCAGCTCTGGTACACACGCTGGACCACTGTCTCCGAGCCGTTCTGCACCTGGCAGGACACCGTCCGCGTCACCGTGTGATGGCACCAGTGCCTGTGGGGACAGCAACAGTCATGTCAGCCCTTCTATTCCTGAGGTGCTGACTGCACGGCAAAAGGCCATGCTGGCCAAGGAGGGGGTCCCTCCATAAAGCTGCAGGGTGGGGGTGCTCATTCTCCTGGGTAAGGGGTCCACTGAGACCCTCGGTCCAGGACTAAGGGGAAAGGGAAGTACCCACCACAGCCTTGGCCACCAAGCCCTGGCATCCATCATTTCAGTCTTCAAACACTCGGAATGAACCCCTGCCCACCGGGAAATCCCACTCTGGTGAGGAAGACTAAGAGGGAAGTGATTATAACCCACAGGAACATGGGGCCATAGGTACAACCAAAAGATGCACACGGGGAACTATGGGAACAGAGCAGGGCACCCAACCCAGGTCCCGAGAAAGAACAACCACCTGGGTACTGAAAGGTGAGAGTCAGCCCACAGCAAGTGCAATCACACGTGGCCCGAAGGCTGGAGGGAGAGGAGGAGCCAGGAGGGAGGGCAGGAGCCAGGAGGAAGGAAGCGACGTGGTACCTGTCAGGCTAGATGTGGGTCTTATCATGAAGTCAGTGGGGAGCCCCTGAAGGACTCTGACCAGGGGAATGCCTCGATGGGTCTGAGTTTAGAAAAATCTCTCTGGTGCAGTGAGAGGTGCGGAAGCCTGAGCTGGGACGTGGCGCGGGGGGGGGCGGGGGGCGGGGGGAGATATATGCAAACAATATTGTGATTGGATCCAAAAGCAGCCCATGCTCCCACCTCCCCCTCCCACTCCCCCCCCCCCCCCCAGATCCTAGAAATTTAAAATCTAAAAATAAGTCCCTGTTGCAACATCAGCAAGATGGTGGGACAGGAGGTCTCCTACTCCTATCTCTCCTCAGTAACCATAATTTGCCAGCCAGCCATGAACAAAAACGCCCTTTCGGGAGCTTTGGGATTTTTGCAAACCGTGCATCTTATAAGAGGTTAATATCCGAAACATATAAGGAACTCATAAAACTCAATAGCCAAAAACCAAATAATCTGATTTTAAAATGGCCAAAGGACCTGAATAGACATTTTTCTAAAGAAGACGTACAGATGGCCAAAAGTATATGAGAAGGGGCTCAACATCACTCACCACCAGGAAAATGCAAATCAAAATGAGAGATCACCTCACACTTGTTAGGATGGCTATTATATCAAAAGGACATGAGACAACAAGTGTTGGCGAAGGTGTGGAGAAAAAGGAACTCCAGTACATTGTTGGTGGTAATGGACATTGGTACAGCCATTATGGTAGTTTCCTGAAGAAATTAAAAATGGAACTACCGTATGACCCAGGAATCTCACTTCTGGGCATATATCCAAAGGAATTAATATCAGTATCTAGAAGAGATATCTGCATGCCCATGCTCATTGCAAAATTATTCACAATAGCCAAGATGGAAACAACTAAAGTGTCCATCCATGAATGAATGGACAAAGAAAATGTAGAAAATACACACACATACACACGATGGAATATTATTCAGCCATAAAAAAGATGGAAATTCTATCATTTGCAATAACATGGATGAACCTGGAAGACATTACCCTAAGTAAATAAGCCACAGAAAGACAAATACCGTATGATCTCATCTGTATGTGGAATCCAAAACCATCCAACTCATAGAACTAGAGAGTAGAACAGGGATTGCCAGGGGCTGGGGAGTGTGAGAGATGGGGAGATGCTGGTCAAAGAATACAAATGTCCAGTTATAAGATGAATAAGTTCTGGGGATCTAATATACAAATTAGATCTATATGTACATATATTATTATATTATCTGTGTATCATATATAATCACATGGTGATTATAGTTAATAATTCCATATTGCATACTTGCAATTTGCTAAGAGAATAGATCTTAAGTGTTCTCACCACAAGACAAACAAACAAACAGTGGTAACTATGTGAGGTGATGAATGTGTTAATAATCTGTAGTAACCATTTCACAATGCATATGTATATTAAGTCATCACGTTGTACACCTTTGGGGGAAAAAAGCATATTGTACAACCTAAATATACACTTTTTAAATTTGTCACTCATAACTCAATAAAGCAGAAAATGTAAATTAAAAAAAAAAAAGAAATCAGCCCCTAACAGCACTGGAAAACAAAGAAGCCGTGATCGAGAAATTTTGAGGAACGCTTGAGAGACTGAAAGTAGGTGGAACTAAATTGAAAGAGGAAAGCCCACTGGAAACAGGGAAGACTCCAGGTTGACGGTAAATGTGGGCACAACTTGGGAACAGCTGATGTGGCTATGGGATAGGGGAGGGACCCAGAGATGACTGTCAGAGGACCATGGTACAAGGAGTCAGACAGGTAGGACCCGGATCCCTACCCCTGCTGGTGTCAAGAATCAGGCATTAGATTCACCTGCCTTGAGGCAGGTGTGGTTGGAGAGGGTGCTCCGAAATCTGATGACCCCCAGGAGAAACAGAGACCCTCTCAAGTTTATACAACTGAATTCCTTTTTTAAAAAAGATTTACTTATTTGAGAGAAAGAGAGAGCGCTAGAGCAGGAGGAGGGGCAGAGGGAGAGGGACAGAGAGGCAGAGAAGCAGACTCCCCGCTGAGCCTAGAGCCCAACACGGGACTCGATCCCAGGACTCTGAGATCATGACCTGAGCCGAAACCAAGAGTCGGAGGCTCAAGCAACTGAGCCACCCAGGTGCCCCTATACAACTGAATTATTGCACAATCCTTCTCTACCCCTTACCTATACTACCAACCTTCCAAGAGGCAAAGCAGCAATAAATAGTAAAGCAGAGAAGAGCCAGTGGAAATCCCCAAATACCAAGAATTTCAAAGTATTCGAGAAAAAAAAGGCCAACACCATGAAAGAAAAGCACCAACTCAACAGACAATAAATCACACCTCAGAAAAAGATAATAAAGCAAACCGATGAAGACAATTTTTTAAAACATAATTAATGTCCTCAAAGAGATAAGAGAATTGTGCCCTTGTAAAAAATATTATGAAATGGAAAAAATGAGATCTCTTGGAAATGAAACGTATGACTGTAAAAACCAAAAGCGCAACAGATGAGCTGAAAAATCAGAATAGACACAGCTAGAGAGTTAGCGGATGAGCCGGAAATCCGAGCCATGAACTTTCTAAGGAAATGTTGGGGGGGGCGGGGGGAGAGAGGTGAGAGACCCAGAGGACAGACCACGTGCCAACATATGTCTACTAGTAGCTCTGGAATGGGGGATCGGAGAGAGCCAAGGGAAGTACGTACTTGAAGAAAGAATAAAGAGAGTTGGAGAAAGATATGATTTCTTAATCCAAAAGAGCCCACTGAGTGTTAAACCAGATGAACACAAACAGACATATCATGCTGAAATGTCAGAACCCTCAGGATGGAGACAAAATACCAAATGCTGTAGAGAGGAAAGTAATGCAGATTACCTACAATAAACTGAAATTAGAGTTCTCATCAGCAGCACCAGATTCATCAAGAAACACACTGGTTTCGAATTTTGGAGGGGAAATATCGAGCACCCAGAATTCCGCACCCAGGCAAGCTCTCCTTCAAAGTCAAAGGCAAGATAAAGACATTTTCAGATGCACAGGAACTCAGAAAGCTTACCAGTCACCTTTTCTGAAAGAATCACTGCAGGATGTACTCCAGCAAAATAAATGAAGGATGCAGAAGAAATATATTAACTATGAGAAGCAGTTATGAGCAAAGAAAGAGTAATATGATTTAATAACAGCCTAGCTCTAAAATCCAAAGTGATCTCAGTAAGGAAGAGAGCTCTAAGAGGGACAGAAGGAACCAAAAGTTGCTGGGAGTTTCGTCTTGTTTAAGGAAAGGACATGAGTGTTTTGCAACTTCAGGTATAGCAGAAAAATACACGATTAAAATATACCTTTCAGTTTGAAGATAAATACTAACAAGGATAGAAAGAAGACAAAACTGACAAACCATGAAAGAAAAAAAAAAACAAAGAAAATTTGATTAATCCGACAAAATGCTAGAAAAGCAAGAGGTAGCAAGAGAAAACACAGTCATTAGAAAACCTTGGAAAGAGAAAGAAGAAAAGAATCCACAAAGATTCGAGCAGAAATGAATGAAGTAGATTTACTTTAAGTGAATCAACAAAACATGTTTTAAAAAAAGTCAAATAGGGCGCCTGGGTGGCTCAGTTGGTTGAGCGACTGCCTTCGGCTCAGGTCATGATCCTGGAGTCCCTGGATCGAGTCCCGCGTCGGGCTCCCTGCTCGGCAAGGAGCCTGCTTCTGCCTCTGACCCTCCCCCGTCTCATGTGCTCGCTCTCTCCCATTCTCTCTGTCTCAAATAAATAAATAAAAACAAATCTTTAAAAAAAAAAATCAAATAGACAAAGCTTATAGCAATTCCTAATTAGAAACAAAGACACAAGAGAAAAAGTCCAGAGACTTAAAATTATACGTAAATTTTATGTGTGATCTTGCATCAAAATTTTTCAAAACCTGGACAATTTTCTAGGCAAATCTCTACTACCAACATTTGCACTGTCAAAAAGAGCATAAAGTAATCGAAAATCTATCCCTCTCCCCCAAAGATACCAGGAGACCTAGTTCAAAACCTGGGTCTGCCACCAACCTGCTCCGTGACTTGAGCAAAGTGATGTCCCCTCTCTGAGCCTCAGTGAAATAAAAAATCTTACCCCTTAAGTTTATTGCAAGGGCTACGTGAGCAGATTCAGGTTAGTGGTGTATAAATCATGTGGCACTCACTACTAAAGTATCCCTGATTGGCTGGCTACCAGAACCCCACAGTGTCCATAAAAGCCTAGGGACTGACCTTACGCATTTTGGAGCTGGGAGGAGTAGTGGGCAGTTAAACCTCGCTGCCCATAGCTCAGACTTGAGGCTGAGTGGGGAAGGGAATCCAGCCTTCCAGCCCAGAGGACCATCAGGGTCCCACCTCCCCAGTACACACCTCCACTCTTGCCTCTGACAGATCAGTCTGGAAATTGTGCAAGATGGCA